TGAAATTGATTATTTTGCCCATAAATTCCAAACCAATGCCCACTGTATGCAACGCTCGGAGCAATGCTTTCCGTGTTTTGGGCCAACGGCTCAATACGTCGATCGCAAACGACGGGTTCTTCTCGTTCCGACCCATAGCCAGTGCCACCCAATAGGTCTCCCGAAACGGATCACTACTTCTTCGGATACTTTTTAAACCATAAAAACACATTTATTTGAAAATAAGGATCAAATAGAATATATATTTATAAACTACTTATCGGGTTCTCCCGGAAGGTTGAATGAGAAGATATCTGTTTGTCCTCTTCGGTCGCCATCGATGAAGTGTTTCATAATTCTTCTGTTATTGAATTCGCAAACCAGAAGCGCTGTCTTGTCGTCGTTTAATTCAATTCCGTTTGGAAATCCAAGAGATTTCATAATAACTGTCGAATTTCTAGTCTTTAAGTCAAACCTAATAACTCTTCCGCTCTCGTCGTGCTCTCCGACCGTATAAAATACTATTTGATTAATTCATAGAAAATGACAATACTTTCATTTTAAGGACTATATTGTTTAACGACATAAAAGTTTGAAACTAATAAAAATACTACAAACCATTCTCCAAATCCCATCGTTTGCTCGCATCTGTAAAATAGATGGCATTTTCTTCTTCATTGATGACTAAGTCATCCAAGAATTTTGGTCTCAAATCAGCGATCGGTCGCTTAGACGTCAATATTCTCTTAACTTTACCTGAGGTCACATTCACGGTATGCAACCCATAGTAAGCGTCGGCAACATATAGCGTGCCTTTTGAATCAAATCTCATTCCTTTTCCATATATTCATAATTATATTCATAATAATTAATAATTAAATTTCAAACTAATTATTTAATACATAAGATTAAAATACATAAAATGCAAACCTAAAGGTCGGCCGCATTTTCCCATTTCCCATGGATTCGCGCATTTCTCTGGGTTTCCAAATTGAGCCACAGTTTTATACCTATCTTTTCTGATGCGAATGATTCGTCCGTCGGATACACCCGTATAGACATCGCCTAATATTTCAATTCATATTAAGCATATTTTAAGACATTTTCAAAATATAATGAAACAATATTCTTAACTTTCTTCAAGAATTTAAATATTATTAAATACAAAATATTGAAATTTTAAATACCTTTCCATACGGCTAAAGACTCTGGCCCTACAATTTCATTGACAAACAAGTGGTCGGCTTCGGAAAGTTTATTGTTGGCTGTGAGCGGGCCGTCAAATGTTTCCGGTAATGTAATGCTTGCGAATTGAATACGAATTGAATTGACAAACGATCAACAAGTTTGAAGTGTTTGAACACTTACTTAAAAGAATTTGGCTCAATGTCTAACAGAATCGGCGCGAATGCGAGGAACAGATAGAATAATATGGTGTGAAATAATACTTTAATACAAGTGGTGATCACATTCACAAT